ATTCTCATTTTTCTTGGCTGTAATTGTACCCAATTCAGACCTCCCTGGCTCCCACCTGGTGGTTCTGGGTGTGCCTGTACTTTTTGTTACAGGTTCTCTTATTATTCTCCTCTTCCAAGTCTTGCTTACTTCTGGCCCTGCTCCTGGCCTCCCCTTTACTGTAACAATCCTCTCTCCCGCCATTTGCTGCAGCATGTGGAACTCAGGAGGGTAAGTAACAGCTTTCAAAGAGTTACATAATGAAACTCTGAGCCTTAATGTAAAGCAGAGAGGGAGAACTATTAGCTCTCTTAACAGTCAACTTTTTGCTGTTTCTCCATCTGCACACTCATATGATTATAATAGCACTAATCTTTCGGAATATTGTCTATGTGCTAGGCCCTGTAGTAAACACTTTACACGTGTTAACTCATTTCATGCAAATAACAAAACCTACTTCTCACACGGTGATTCAGAGGACTAGGTCAGACAATGAACATGAGTGTGCTTTGTAAACTCTCTCTACAGAATGTTAGGGATGGACTGGTTTTTTCTCAACAAGAGCCTGCACTGGTATTAAGTGTCAGCCAACACCTCCACTCCTGTCATTCCCCAACTTTTCCTCTGGAAGTTTTACTACTATTGTAAGTAAGTCAGTATTTCTGTGATTAGAGTTTAATATTTGTCTCCCTGACCAGAGGGGAGGCTCCATGAGGTCAGGGACCCAATTTATCATTTTCAACACTGTGTCTCCAGACACCAGCCTGGAGTCAGGTTTCTGTTAACAATTGCTAAAATCAATGAATTAAAGGGCTCATATGATGGAATAAATGATGTGGAATAATCTCCAAAACACATTGATAAGTGAGAAAAGCAAGGTGCAGAATGATGGGTATAAATAGTAGGCAGCCACCTGTGTTTTAAAGAAAAAAGACACATAGGTACACACAAGATATGTTTGTTTAGGCTCACAGTATCTCAGGAAGGTAATGGTGGTTGTATCTAGACAACACACTGAAAGGACAACGGGCTTTTAGACCCTTTTATATGGTTTGAAATTTTAAAAAATTAAATGACTACGTTAACCATTCAAAAACAAACTCATTTTTTAAATGGTTCAACCTGCAAAAACAAAAAGAAATAAAACCAACCTCGCCTCTAATCTATCAGCTGAGTCCCTCCATTTTTCTTCCCACTGCTCCAGCATAAATCTTCCTTCTGGCTAAGCAGGTCTTCTCACCGCCTTCTAAGTACAGTATGTTAACATCTGCACTAGCTCACACACCATTTCTCCCTCCAGGGTGTTAATCCTCCTGTGATAGAGAGAATGGTCCCCTAAAGATGTCCACTTCCTAACCTCTAAAACCTGGGAATATGTTAGGTTACATGGCAAAGGGGAATTAAGATCGCAGATGGAATTAAGGTTGCTAATTAGCTGATTCTTTAAAGGGAAATTATCCTAGATTATCTGAGTGGGCCCAACATAAAATAGAAAATGGAATATAAAAGTGGAAGAGGGAGGCAGAAGAGGAGCCAGAGAAGAAGATGGGACGAGGCAGGGTCAGAGTGATGTGGTGTGACGACTCAACCAGCCATTGCTGGTTTTGAAGATGGAGGAGGGGCACCACTAGTCAAGGAGTGTAGGCAGCTTCTAGAAGCTGGAAAAGACTTGGAAATGGATCCTCCTCTAGGGACTCCAGAAAGAAATGCAGCTCTGCTGACACCTTGATTTTAGCCCAGTGAGACCTGTGCCAGACTTCTAACCCGCAGAACAGACTGATACTAAATGTGTATTGCTTACACCACTATGTTTGTGGTAATTTGTGAGAGCAGCAAATAGAAAATACACCTCCGGACACCTCCCATTTTGGGGGTGCTCAGCTGAAGCCTCTTTTCTTGCTTCCTTCTCCAGCCCACTGTGATTTGTCTGAGTCCCTGCAGTCCTAATTTCCGTGAATCACATGTTTAACACTTGACTCATTCATTCAACAGTTACTTAATGTCCGCTATGCACCAAGCCCTGTGCTAGACCTGGGGATGATCCACCTGGAAAGTGTTTCAGAGCGAATGTGAGGTGTTTGGACTTGATCCTATGCAAGCAGCACTACATTCATCAGTGAGAACGCAAAAAACTATAAACCAGAGTCTCTCCCTGGAAGTGCTCAGCAAACCAGGGAAACCTCTGTACAGTGTATCCCAAAACAACGGGCAAGGAGCTGCACCGGGTGCTGCCAGAACTCAGAGCAGGAGCATCTGACCTAATCTTCAGGCAGTTAAGAAAGTCTTCCCGGAAATCATGCTAATATCTGAAGGAAAAGTAATAATTTGCTAAGACAGAGTTTTCCACAAATGGCCCAAAATGATCTCAGATTACACAAGAATAATAGTTATTTATAATTATATACTATGTTTTTGCCACTATACTGTTACTTCTTATATATTATTGCTTAGATAGGTTCTAAAATAAGTTTCTTTGAACATTAGAACAATTTAAAGAAAAATGTTAAGTAAATTGTAGTTCAGGATATATAGTACAGAGAGGACAGTATACAAAGTGACTGACAACAAAGATTTACCATATAACACAGGGAACTATGTTCAATATCTTGTAATAAACTATAACGGAAAGGAACCCCCAAAAATGAATATAAATATATATGTATAACTGAATCACTTTGCTGCATACCTGAAACTAACCCAACATTGTAAATCAACTACAATTTTTTAAAAATGCAAAACGACTGATATCTGAGGAGAAGCGAGCTAAGTGGATGGGCAAGGTTATTCCAACAGTAGGTGTGGTAAGTGCAAGGACCAGGAAGCTGAGGGCTTTGGACAGAGGCTGAATGTGGAGTAGACCCGGTGTGGGTGGGGCACACAGTGCAAGGTGGAGAGGTCAGAAGGGTCCGAGGGTCTGGTGAGCCAGGTTAATGATCCTGGACTTAATCGTGAGGGCAACGGGAGGCTACTGCACATTATCTGACCTAGACTGTGGGCAGCTTGAGAGCAGACTATTTTTTGTAATTATTCACTGCTTAGAAAGATGCTACTGGCATAGGTTAAAGTCCAAACACTGCACAGTGGTACCTAAGACCCTTTAGGTGAACTGCAACTGACACGGTCTCCCGCCAAGCATGGCATCCCACACTGCTTCTCCAACTTCTTTCACATATCTGTGCCTCAGCACAGCTCCTTCTGGTCAAATCCTTCTTGCTACTCAACAGTTACCCACTGAACTTGTACACTAGCCCTTCTCATTCATTCATGGCCCAGCAGAAACCATTACTTCCAGTGTGAAGCCTTTCACCTCTCCACAGGCATTTGTCAAGTCGTCCTCTGCACATCTCTTTCAAAGCACTGATCACATTCTAGTCAGTTTGCCTGAGTCCAACTGTGTGCCATCTCAAGCTCTTTGAGGGCAGGTTTAGTTACTTATTCATCTTTTTGTTATCTATACCCAGCATAGTGCTAGACTTCAGGGAAGGAGAAAAAACACAGCCTGCCTCCCGAGACAGGGAGCTTTGGCTCAATGTCTCAACCCAGAGGTCTCAAATTCAGATATATTTTGACTCTCAGAGTTGGCCCACGTGGTATGTGTTCAAATTTGAACTGATTTTCCATTTTTAAAGAAAGTGGATAAATTCACATAAAGCCTGGAATCCTGATTCTTCTTGCCCCAAATTCTGGCAACACTGGATCTTCATATTCACATGGCAACCATCAGCTGGAGTTCATTAGATAGAGCCTGTTCTCCATTTTGCCCAGTTCACACATCTGTTCTCCCTCATACAGACTTGGTGTTGGTTGTTATTTTATCATTGTTTTTCTTATAAAGTAAAAGCTAAACTTTCTTACACTGGGGTGTTTCACCAGAGTCCTGAAGGCAACTGAGTTTTCAACCCTTAGCTTAGCCTCCAAGCCTCTTATCTCATCTGCCAAATGGTAAAAATAACATTTCCCTTTAATTTTCAACATGGCCTTGCGGTGTAAAGCGTATATAGCATATAGAACGCTGCCTGGGACATGGGAAGTGTCTGAAAAACGGTTGTTGATCTCAGGCGCTCAAGAACCATTTATAGAACAAACGAATGAATAAATGAATGAACGAACTAGTCAACAATGGACCAGTGTTCTTGCTTTGTAAAGAGAAGACTGATGAAGAAAATTCTCGCCAAGGAGTTTTTATCCATTTGCGAAGGCCATAATTTGTGTCTGGGATACTGTGGGTGCTCAAAAATGGGACAAACTGCAGTTATTATGAATTTCAGAAAAGCTGTGAAAGAGTAAGTGAAGGTGAACTGGTTGGTCAAAAAGCGATGCCTGCGGAGGTTTTGTCTCTTTTTACCAGGCACACAGCAGGTGCTCAATGAATGCCTGTGGAATCCTCATAGAGACAGGGGCCCAACTGCACTCCCTCCTCCAGGCCGCCCTCCTGGGGACCTTCCGGCCTCCTCCCCACCCTCCTGCCCCGCCCCCGCCCCGCCCTTACAGGATGTCCTCGCGGATGGAGGTGCCGTGGTTGAGGTTGTGGAAGCGGACGGAGACGCAGTCCCTGAGAATGAAGGAGCACCTGTTCTCCTTCTTGTAGGCGTTGAAGCATTCCTTGAAGTCCTCATAAGTCTTGAAACAGCTGCCTAGCTCCATGGCCGCCCTCTCAGCCCACACCAAGGGCTGGACCCCAAATCAACACCAGGGGTCACAGGTCACACTATGAGGGTCTACAGGCTGGCGTGGGCCCAGGATGCCTTAAAGGTCGGTCCCAATTGGGTGGCCCGTTACGGAGCTCAGGAGAAGCCCTAAGCCTGAGAAGGTTGCCAAGAGCTGGGGGGCGTCTTTGCTGTCTGACAGAGGGGAAATGACACTCAGCCCTTATTATCCAGTCCCAGGGCTCCGCCCCCTCAACGTCACATCCAATTACACACGGGTTCCTCGGACTGGCACTCATTTTCTCCAATCGCTAGAGAGCAGATAGGGACACTTACCCGAAGACTGACAGGAGCACCGACCAATCATAACCTGCATCCCACTTTCTCAGTGCCTGCCGGGGGCTTCCGGTTACTTAGCTTCTGCCGGAAGCTGCGCGATGGGTCCAGGTCTCAGTGTGTGCCACCCAGCGCAGTGTCCCGGGCCGGCAGCAAACGAACTACATGTCGTCCCCGCGGGCTCCAGAGGACGGACAGGGCGACGGCGATCCTCCCAGGGACCTTCGCAGCGTCCTGGTCACTAGCGTGCTCAACCTCGAGCTGCTGGATGAGGATCTCTTCAGGTAGCCGGCTGCATCTGGTCCGCACTACCCCCTGCTGGGACGGAGGCTTCTGATCTTGACTGCCGCCACCTCGTTGCCCCTTCTTGTAGCGCCCAGGATGAGGATGGGCTCTGCGCGGGATCCCTCTGCCGCGATTGGGAGGGAACTTGTGCCTGACATAGCTGGCCCGGCTTCCTCCTCGGCGCAGTGGTCTGCATATCCCATCCCTAGGAGGTCCCGGCAATCTGGGCAAATAAAGGGGTAATCTAAGATATCCTCAGCAGACTCCCTTGAGGAGTCACGTCCCTGGGGGAGCCAGCTCCAAAGGACAGTGATTCGTCCAAGGGCACAAACTTATCTGCAGTTCATTGCATATTCACTGTCATTTTCTCTTATATACCCCATCCCCACCACCACTAGGTGGGGGTCTAGTAGCTCTTTATTCATTCTGAGCCCTATGCCAGTTTCCTTCCTGATGCCACTTAAATTCTTGACTGCTGGAGATTTAACAGTTTGGGCTTCCAAGGCCCCTCCTGGCTGATTGGAAGCTATTTTAGGCATTAACTTGTCTTCCCTGCCCACCCGCCCCTCTTAACAAATTACAAATAACTCCCTGGAGAGCTATTTACAATGCATTATATGAAAAAATGCTAGGCAGTGGGAAGTTGGAAACCTAAATCTTAAGTCTCCACAGGGCTCATGCACTGGGCAAAACTTTACACTTTGGGGGCCTCAGTGTCCTCATCTGTACACTGAAGGGGTTAGACTTGAAGTCTGAGGACCCTTTGAACTCAATCTAGTTCCTAGAAGAACTGTACTGTCGAATTTGAGGGACATAGTGGCAGGCCTTAATGCAGTCCACCCCCAGCTTTGGTGGTTCGTCTTGGTCTACTCAATGCCTCGAGAAGTTTCTGCCTTACCCTGGTATAGGCAATGGAAGAAACACTGAATTTGGGGTCAAAAGATCCAGATGCTGCTCAGGATGGCAACATTTGAGCTGTGGGATCTTGCCCAAGTCAACTTCCCTGTCTGATCCCCTGTTCTCCTAGTGTAAAATATGGGGTTGGTTCATTATCCTTAAGTGAAATCCACAGAAGGGTTGGGCGATCCTTCAGGCCTGAAGAAGTTGTATGTAGAGTGATGTTAGGAAATCTGCCTGGAGAAAGGATCATGGCTTTCACCAGATTCTCGAAGGATCCCAGACCCCAATCAGGTTTCGAGATCCTGCACTAGAGGCTCATTGATAGTTGCAGGATTTGGCTTAGCCCCCAAGTCTTCCGTGCTTTCTCTCTCTCCCTACAGAGGAACACATTACTGGGTACCTACAACCAAGCGGCTGTTTGGGGGTCAGATCATGGGCCAGGCCCTGGTGGCTGCAGCCAAGTCTGTGAGTGAGGATGTCCACGTGCACTCCCTGCACTGCTACTTTGTTCGCAGAGGTAAATCACCCCCTCGCTACCCCGCCCCAGCCCTGGTGGCCCAGCAGCTACTTCTTCCTGGCCTTGGGGGGCTGACTGAGGAGGAAGAGGGAGAGAGATGGAGGGGGAAGAGGAGGAGAGAGGGGTGGTGAGGGAGAGTTAGTGGATCACCCTCAGGGGACCCTAGAGAGGAATTAGGCCTGGAACCGTGAAGTGCCTTAGATCTCATACCTGCTAAGACACTGGGGACTTCTTTTCTGGCTCAAGACTTTGTTATTTAACTGTTTCCCGTGGGTCTTTGGTTGTTTATTCCTTACATACCTGGTGCCAGTCCTGTGCTGGGTCCTCAGAGGGGTGCTGTAACCTGAGAGTTTGGAGGCAGGCAGCTTAACTTGGAGAACAGCGCACCAGCCTGGGAATCTAGAGACCTTGGGCCTAGTTTGAGCTTTACCTTTGATTCGCCCTGCAACCTCGACTGAGATAACCACCCTCCCCAGCCCCTCCTTCATCCCATCTGAAAAATGGAGGAGGGGTGGGACCGAGCGAGATCTCTATAGCTGCTTACAGCTCTGTGGTCAAATAAAGGAGGAGACAGTAATTTTTTAAAACCCAGGCTCTCTTTTGAGAAACATCAAAATCTCACTTGCTTTCCCTCCCTTGCAAGCCAATGCTCCCAATTTTGACAGTCTCTTCTTCATAGTTCCATCAGCTGAGAAGAGTTTATGGTACTTTATAATATGTGATCCGTATCTTAAAAAATGGATTTCTCCCCTCATTTTACAAATATAAAAATAGTTAATAGTAAACACACCTTTTCATACTACATTCCCTTGCCCCTCACTTCCCATCCTTTTATTTCCTGTCCTGGCCTGACAGTCATAAAGTATTTGAGTGCTTATCTGGGGCAGGCCAGCCACCTTGTAAACCTTTATGCTAGTTGGGAGCAAATGTGCTCTTTGTTTCCTCAGTTTGGTTGAAAACTCCAAAACTGCTAGCCTTTTGATATTGTAATCCTTCTAGCCTAGTGAGACAGTCTTGTTTTATTTTGTGGGGGTGGGGACATTACCTGATTCCTTACTCAGTTTCATTGTCTTGTTTCTGAAAAGAATTCTAAGAGTCTTTGCAGGCAGGTTAAATATCTAGTGCAGGGCCTGGCATGTTATGGGTTTTCCATAAATGATTGCTATCAGTATTTTTTGATGATGAATTTATGGGAGTAATTAAAATATGCATGTTACAGAGCACAGCTTTGTACCTTGTTTAATCCTCATAAGTAAACAGAGGGGGTGAGCATTCCTGCCACCATTCTAGTTGTAAGGAACCTTGGACCCAAAGTGGTTATGTAAGCAGCTCCCACAAGTGCTCAGAGCTGCAGAGCCGGGATTTGAACTTGAGTTTGTGTGGCTCCAAAATCTACACTCTGGCCTCCTTCTGCGCTTTTCTCTTTCACTCTTGGGCAATAATTCCAAACCATGGGAGAGCCCATCCCAGCTTCCAGGGGAAGGATCCACTTCTTTGGAAATTCTCCAGCCAGGGGCAGTCTGAAATGAGCTGGGCCCACGCTCGTATTTCATAATAATCACCAATTATTTGTGTCCCTACCTGCTTCTTGGAAGCCTGCAAGATGGCTTAAAATAATTGACAGCTATTATAGCCCTATTAAAATAAAAGTCAAGGCAGATTAGGAGTATGGAATTAACAGAAACAAACTACTATGCATAAAATACATAAGCAACAAGGATTTACTGTATAGCACAGAGAATTATATTCAGTATCTTATAATAACCTATAATGGAATATAATCTGCAAATAAAGATAAATAACAAAGTATGGAAAAAATAAAACATTTGGTACAAAATTTTAAAAAATAATGGTAAATAAAATTCAAGGGCCAAGAGGCTAGTAGTAACAGGATTTGGCGGAAATGATAAAAAAATTAGGCTAAGGCATATTGCAATTTTATATAAAAATTAGTTCTGAGCTTCCTGGCAGCAAGGCAAAAAGGGAAGCTCTTTTATTAGTTTGTGATGTGACCCTCTACCAGGTACATCAAGATTTATGAACAGTGATGGTGCTCCAATGTTATTTTAAAATAAAAGATACTGGGAGTCCTTGGCCATTTATCATATCAATTCTTTTTGTAAAAGCCTAGAATAGAATGTTGGTCAGTTTGGGGTTTCGGTTTGTTTTTTGATTTAAAAAAAAGTATTTATAGGATAGGTAGAAGAGTGTAATCCAGGAGTCATCTGACTGGTATAGGTTTAGAACTTGGAGACTCTATAGCAGGAGTCAAAAAACATTCTGTAAAGGGCCAGATAATAAATATTTTAGGTTTTGTGGGCAAAAGCACTAGCAGACACTATGTAAACAAATGGGCTTGGCTGTATTCCAAAAAATGTTCTTTAGGGCATCAGTTTCCTCATCTATACAATGAGGGTAAAGCCCACTTTGCATAGTTAATGTGAGACCAACATGAGAAAAGATACTGTAATAACTGTAAAAGATTGGTACACAGAAACCTCTACTGAATTGGGAGGCCAGAAGGGGAAGATCTCACACCCTACAACAATAGCAGAGACCAGCAGGAAGAGAAAAGACTTCTCTTCTTTCCTGCCAAGGACTCAGCCAATGAAAAGCCACGTATTCTTTGTTTTTTATAGCCCTCTCAACTATACCATACTATAGCCCTCTCTTTTCCCCTCAATAAGAGCATTCTCCTTCCTCTGCTGTGCAGAGGACTTGCACGTGGATTGTCATGGTTGCAGATCCTGAATTGCAATTCTCTGTTCCCTAATAAACTCGTCTTTGCTGGAGAAATATCTGGCAGCCTCTTTGTTGCCGGTCAACATGACTAATGCACTCTGTAACTGTTAGCTCCCTTCCTTCAATATATTGCAGAGCCTACCTGCTCTTCTCCAATAAGAATTCTGAAGAGCAGATCTGGAACTCGTTCACACTGAAGGGTAAATCACTAGTAACTGAAAGTACTGATTTAGCTGCAGCCCAAGGATTGGCTGAAAGCTAATTTTTTTTAAGTTCATTGATAGGGAAGGGAGATCTCCTTCCCAGCCCCTAGAATCAGGCTGCACTTGTAGCTGTTTCCAGTGTCTGGACTCTTGGGAAGCCATTCTCATAGGTTTTGGCCTTGAGGAACCCCCATTCTGATAAAAATGCCCCTTTGGCGATGTTGGCTAATAGACCTCCGAGCCAACCCCCTGGGCTTCAGGGTTCACAGTGCTGTTTATTGATGTTGAATGAGTCTCCGGTGCCTGGAGGGTTCTCCATTTGGATGGGGTGGAGGAAGTAACACTTCCCTAGAACTGCTTCTTTCATCTCAATGTTGAAAATCATCCCAGCTCACTACCTATGTGGCAGGGTTCTCCAAGGTCGGTCTGACTCAGACAAAAGGACTTCAAGGACACCAGGAAGACTCGCTGCCTCTAAAGACCCTCTCCAACCTGTTTGTTGGGGGCTGATAGTCCTCATTCTAGGGCCAGTGTCTTCCATCCTGCATTGGGATCACAGATACTGAAGGAGAAAGGCCAGGTGGCTTCCATTTGCATTAAGGATGAAGTGACTGACAGCATGCTTTTCCTGAGAGAATGAATATTCCGACAATGTCCAGATCATATAGAAAATAGAACTCCGACCCACAGTTGGTAGCAACTAGCACAGGAAGCCAACCTGTTGGCTACAAATGGGACTTGTGGGAAGTCAGACCATCATCTCTAGCAACTGATCCCAGAAGCTGGACCATAGCCCCTGTAACAGTCAGCCCCAAATGGCCTGGACTTGATTAATAACTGACAGCTTCCCTAATTTCTGCCCCTGCTTCCAACTTAAGACCAACCAGGGAAAGCCAAACGTGTACCTCTAACCAATTACATAGGCTCCTGCTTCTAGTTAGCCTGCCTACAGCTTTCCCCCAGCCAATAGCCTCCAAGCAGGGCTTACCTGAAACCTCTTTGTTCACTGTCAAGCTTTCCCACTCCTCTGTGTGCCTTGGAGTCTCTGCCAAACTTCAAGTGATAGTGGCTGACTCCCTTGCTGTACTAAACTCTGAGTAAATAGCCTCTGCTTGTTCTAAAAATAAGAAGGAGAAGAAAGAAAACAGACGAAAAAAAAAGTCAGCAGGCCAGATCTGCTATCCCCTGATCTAGAAAAATGGTACTGGACTTATGACAAGATCCTAGTCACACAGGGAACAAGACAAAAACTGAGGCTATTTATTTAACAAACCCCTATAGAGCACTTACTATGTGCCATATATTATTCTAAACACTTTATAACTCTGAATTCATTTAATCCTCATTAAAATCCTGAAAGGATCCCAGTTTCGCAGATGGGTTAACTGCTCAGAGAGGTTAAGTGACTTTCTCAAGGTCACACAGCTGGTGAGTGGTACAGCTGGGCTTTAAACACAGGGAATCTGGCAATGTCCCTTCTGTTCTGTACTATTGACAGAGAGGGGCTCCGCCTGCACCGGGAGCATCTAGATGACAGAATCCGGTGTTCTCTGTATCTCCAGGACCTGGGCCTTAGGCCTCGGTCAGTAGCTACTGAGCAGAAGAAGAGAGGAGAACGAGCAGCAGAGGTGCCCCCTCACTCCACCGCTGTGGTGATGGTGACCGGGACTAAGGGGTTCACTCAGGCTCACCGTGTCTCCTGTGCCTGCTGCAGGGGACCCGAAGGTGCCGGTGCTATACCAGGTGGAGCGGACGCGAACAGGGGCGAGCTTCTCCGTGCGCTCCGTGAAGGCTGTGCAACATGGCAAGCCCATCTTCATCTGCCAGGCCTCCTTCCAGCAGGCCCAGCCCAGCCCCATACAGCACCAGTTCTCCATGCCCACTGTGCCCCCACCGGAGGAGGTTCATGGCTACAAGACCCTCATTGACCGGTATTTAAGGTGAGAGACCTGGAGCCTTCAGGACTGTTCAGACTGCAGTTACTGCCTGTTAGTGGGTCATGGAGTCCTTTAGTGGATCTTGACCAGCATTTAAAAAAAATAGACTAGAAAAGAAGATACTGGAGGGTCTGGCCTGTCATAAGGGCAGGAATCCTGTTGTGTGTGAGAGCATGTGTATTGGATTGCAATGTGAAATACAGGGCTTGTGATTCAGCCAGTTCAGGTAGTGGTACAGCTTTACTGGTTGTTAAAATATTGAAAAACTTCTATAACCACTTGGTAAATGCTCACCTTCCCCATCCCTGAGTGATCTGCCCCCTACTTCGGGGTCCCCCATGATGCAGCAGTCTGGCAGGGGTGAGGGTCCCTGCTGCAGAGTGATGGCCCCGCTGCCTTTCCTGTAGTGTGTTTAAGTATTCTGAACATCACCTGGTCAAAGAGATTACTTACTTGGATCACAGCTAAGAAAGTTGGAAAATGCCAGGGCAGCAGAAGGAGCTCTGGGTCCTGACACAGGACAGTCACATGGATTTGGGCCAGCCCACCTGCTGTGTGCCTTTGCCCAACTTCCCAGCCTCTCAGAGCCCTGCTTCTTCATCTGAGAAACGGGAACGGTCATCTCTGCCCTGCCTGCTTCACCGCTGTATCATAAAAAGAGCTCCGCTCCTTCTGCCGCACGAGGTGGGGCAGGATGGTGGGATGGGAATGGAGGTGGGCTTGAACCTGGGAAAGCCCTAGGTTCAAATCTGGACTCTGTCACTGCCAGCTGTGTGAGTTTGGTGAGTTGCTCTCCCACCCTGTGCTCTCAGTTATCATAATTCCTAATCATAATTCCTACCTCAGAAGGCTGCTGTTAGGATTAAATGAGAGAATAGGTAGTAAGGCACTGGTGAGTGCTCAGTAAATTGAAGTTATAGCACTATTGACAGAGAGCACTATATAAGCATGGAGCCTGGGAGCCTGGGATGTGGTCAGAACTCAGAGATGTTTGGGAAATGAAAGGAAGGCATTGTTCCTAAAGGTTTCTAAATCTACCGGTGTGCTTGAGAAGCCACTAACCACAGGTGGCTATAAGAAGTTGATTAATGTTAAAGAGAATTAGCAGTTCTATTCCTCAGTCACACTGCCACATCTCAAGCCCTCGAAAGCCACATGATGCTAGTGGCTACCATAGTGGACAGTGAAGATCTAGAAACTTCCATCATCACAGAAGGTTCTATCAGACGGTGCTCGAGAGGATAGGGATGGAAATGGAAATACCAGGGAAGAGCATGAGGGGTGATCGTTACTGGAGCGAAGGGGGTTCCCTGGCTGGGACACAGTGTCCCCAGTTACTCAGGTTATACCTGGATCCAGCAGGGAGCCTGTTTGCTGAGTATTTAGAATAGAGAAGTGGTTAAGAGTACGAACCATGGAGCCAGACAGCCTGGGTCAGAAACCCGCCTTCTCTTCCCACTTCTTCCCACTCCCTGAGCAAGCTATCTGCACTCTCTGTGCTGCCTTCATTTATCAGGCAGCAGTTATGCTAACACTGATCTCACAGGGGTGTGGAAGGTGTGTGAAATGCCTGGAATGGTGCCTGTTACTGGGTACGCCATGGGACTCTATGATGTGTTGACTTTAGATGCATTATCTTGTTTTCTCCAGTTTGGTTACTGGCATTATCCACATTTCGCAGATGGGAAGGCAGGCTGAGAGATTACTAACTTGCGCAAGGCCACAGGGCTCTTAAGGGGCAAAGAAGGGATGCAAATACTAGCCTGCCAGAGGGAGGGAAGCTCTGGGGATAAGTCGGGAGTCCCTAGAGAGGAATGAAGGGGGTCAGAAGAGGCATCTCAGAGGAGAGGCCCCCCATCTCCCTGGGTCTCCCCCAGTCCATCTTCCCTTTACTTTCAGGGACCCTAACCTCCAGGAGGAGTACCGAGTGGGGCTGAACCAAATTGCTGCCCAGGAGGTGCCCATTGAGATCAAGCTGGTAAACCCTCCCACTCTGGGCCAGATGCAGAGCATGGAGCCAAGACAGATGTTCTGGGTGCGAGCTAGGGGCTATATTGGTAAGAGGACCCTGTGGACTGGAGGAAAACACTCTCTGGGGGTCTAGACCTGCACCTCATTTGCCCTGTGCGGCCTTAGGCATGTTACTTCCCCTCTCTGGGCCTGTTTCCTTATCCGCATGATGGGGAAGTTGGCTCAGCCCCTTGCATGGGGAGAATGGGGAGGTGACTATCATCCTAACGTCAGCCCTTTCTGGGGAAGGCAAGACACCTTGCCGAGCGAAATTCTCCAGGTCTGCTGTTAACCGTAAGGTGCCTTTGTGCAAATTGGAAAAACTTCCAGGGTCCAGGGAGGGACACCTGGGGAATGAAGACTGGATTTCAACCCTCACTCACCCCGCCCTCCCCCGTCCCCACCTCCCTTATTCCCCGTCACAAACAGCCTCTGACCAGGTGCCCTCATGCATTGAACAGTCTGCATATTTGTGCATGGCAGCCCCTTTCACCCCACCTCTCTGCAGGTCCTGAGCTGTAAAGCCCAGGAGCCCAGGGATGATGGGGCTGGAACCTGTTGCAGGGGAGGGCGACATCAAGATGCACTGCTGCGTGGCCGCCTACATCTCGGACTACGCCTTCCTGGGCACAGCACTACTGCCCCACCACTGTCAGCATACGGTGCGCTTCATGGTGTCCCTGGACCACTCCATGTGGTTTCACGCTCCTTTCCGAGCTGACCACTGGATGCTCTATGAGTGTGAGAGCCCCTGGGCTGGTGAGTGTCAGGCCAGGTGGGATGAGGGCATTGACCTTGGGGTGGCAAGGTGCCTGCTTTTTGGGGTGACGCTTCCCCCGCCCCCGACTCCAGCCCACTTCCCCTGGAGCACCACACAGATCACTTCCTCTCCTGCCCCCCTAGGCTGTGGCATCCTTGTCTTCAAAATGACAGGGTGAGGCCTGAGATTGGGACACCTGCTCAGCTCTTAATTTCTGTATAACATGATGGGAAAGTGATTCACTTTATCTCAGACTCAGGTCTAGTCTAGAACCACTTCAGTTTCTCTGTATGATCTTGGGCAAGTCCCATCTCTCCTCTGAGCTTGTTTCCCCATCTAAACAAACAGGGTTGTATTAAAGCAGAGGTATCCAAAGCTGGTGGCCCACCAGACCACTACTTGGGAGAGCTTTTTCAAAACATTGTGATTCTACCCCCAAGATTCTGACTCTGCAGGTCTTAGATAAGGTCCAGGAAACTATTTTTAAGAAGCTCCCTGAGTGATTCTGACAATTAACCTGGTTGGTGGTGGTCAGGGCACTCGACAGTCTCCCAGGGCCCCACTACTTGGACACTCCTTATGGTGATAAGAGAGAAGCCCAGAATTCCCAAGGAAGTAACATTTCAAGTGAAGAAAAGCTTTGTGAAACAGGGACAAAACTTAAAGGACGCTTTAAACGCAGGGCAGGGGGTTCTCAAGTACCAACAGCATCAGGAACAACCACCTTGAAGTTCATTCTCTTGGGTTTGGGTTTGGCCTGATCATTAAGGCCAAGTTCCTGAGCCTCTATGGACTGTAGTGTCATCTGAAAACTGGGACAAAACCAGCTTCACTTGGCTCCTGTGAGAACTAAGTGAACGCTACTGCGGTAAGACAAACCAGCAGTTCCCTTCCGAAACATCAGACTCAGGCCCAGGGCTGGCAAGGGAGAATCCCTTGGTGGGGAGGGAGGGTTGCCCCTTTGGGTTGGGCATAGCTCTTTTTCTTTGTTTTTTAAATGAATGACCAGCCTGGAGGGCCTGGTTTGACTTATTATAAAGGGAACTGATGAGTTTCCTAACACAAGTGGCCAGAAGCAGGGCAGATCTATTTAACCAAGCTATAAGGACTGTTCTCAGAACTTCTCCCCTTGAGATCTTTTTGAGGAAGCCAGCAGATATGTGAAAGTGCTTTTAAATTGCCAGGTGGGGTTCCCATGGGAGGCGTTAACCCCAGTGACTGAATGTAATGGACTCCTAAAAGGGCACGTGGAGGTTGGGAGTGACCACAGCACCCAGCATGCCTGCGATGGGGCAGCCCACCCTGAGTCCCACCTTTTTCAAGGAGCCCGTTTGGCTGTGCTGGAGAGAGAAGACCGTTCTCACCCTTCCTTTTGCCTGCAGGTGGCTCCCGGGGCCTGGTTCAAGGGCGGCTGTGGCGTCGGGATGGGGTCCTGGCTGTGACCTGTGCCCAGGAAGGTGTGATCCGAGTGACACCCCAGGGCTCAAAGAGCAAGTTGTAGCCAGAGGTACCAGCTTGGCCTGGGGCTTCAAGACTCTCCCTTCTACCCAGACTCCTGACGCAGGAGTTACAGTCCAGGGCTGGGCCCTCTGTCTGGGGCATCCAATAAAGAGACGCATACCACTGGAGCTGCTGGTGTTTAATTCCCCTGGGCCAGAACTGCAGCCTTCCCTCCAGCCATCAACTCCAGGATTCCAGAGGCAGAGTCCCTGGCCCTTTGGCCAGGCTGCCTCTGGCTTGGAGGCCCAAGGAAAGGGGAACATTGACCCTGACCTGGGGCACAGTCCCCAGATATTCATAAGCTGGAGAGGCTGCATCAGACTTTCTCCCTGCACCATCCCAGCCCAAGCTTGTCCTGAGCCCAGCTCAACAGAACCATGTTTCCTTGGTCTGCTGCAAATTCTCTGTGGAACTTCTAGGGGTTCCCAGCACCCCCTATAGCCTCCCAGCTGCTGTCCATGTCCTCATCAGCCCCGACTCTAGCGCCCTTCTAGGGGCAGTGCCTCTCCCCACAGTGGCCTTCAGTCTGGGCCAGGTTAGTCCAGCACCTCCTTAATGAGTAATTCTTTGAGACTGGGGGGTGGTGTGGGGGTCAGACCTGCCTCCTGCAGGGCCTGGAGCTGGGCCTCTGTTTGGCGTTTGTCCAGGCCCAGGCGCCAGGAGAGCCGCACATGGGCCTCCAGAAAGGGTGCCAGCAGGGGGTGAGGACTCTTGTCCCCCAGCAGCTGGAGGGCCCTCTCACAGCATGCCCGGGCTTCCCCAGGGGTCCTCCAGCTCTTGGTGGCACACGGCCAGCCCGGCCAGAGTCAGCAGGGGCCAGTCTGGGCCCGAGGGGATGCCCAGCTGGGCCTGCAGCTGCCAGGCATTGGCCCAGAGCGCCAGCGCCTCCCGATAGAGGCCGGTGCAGGTGAGGCTCTGCGCGCGCCGCAGCTCGGGCAGCACGAAGAAGTCCTGCAGCTCCGGGGCCTGGCGCAGCTCAGGCACGGCCTGGAGGTGGCCCAGAAACTGCTCAAAGGCCCGGCTGCGGCGGGCGATGGTCTCTGCAGTAAAGTTCCGGCGCAGGCGCTTCCGGGGGAAGGAGATGGCCGCCATGGGGCCCCGGAACTGCCGCTGCAGGTTTCGGTGCAGCCGCTCAAAGTCCGAGTAACGGCGGGAGATCTGGGCCGGCTGGCGATCCGGCGGCCCCGGGCCCATCACGGCGAGGGTGTAGAGCTGCAGGGAGGGTGGGGGTCAGGGCGGGTGCAAGTTGTCCACGGGCCCCTGCCCTCCCCACCCCCACACTTCCAACTCTTGTCCCCCACCTCTTCCCACCGGGGCTAGGCCCAGGAGGGTGGGAGCTGCTGGGAAGGCAGCTTGGGAGGCCAGTCCCATCTTACCTGAGGTTCGTCTGAAATGACCCAGGCCCAAGGCAGCACAGGAAGAAAAAGACAGAGATGAGCTTCAGTGCCTGGACCACTGCCGCTTTTGCCCCTGCCAGGGAGCACTCCCTTCCCATAGGACAGTTAGCTCTAATGATAGCCTCTCTGAAAAACCAGCGGTGTGCTGAGACCCAGGCCCATTGCTTGGTCCTCTAAAGCCAACTTTATACCAGCTTGGAGCTTTGTTCTACTCTGGACACACAGCCCCACATCCCTAGCCAGGTTACCCCAATCCAGACCTGGAGGGCCCATCGCAGCCCCCATCGTGACCAGCGTGAAAAGCACACTGTTCTCAGGACCAAATTCTAACCTCGGATCAGCTACTCCCTCACTAGGTGAGGTCAGGCAAGGCAGTCCCCTTCTTGGGTCTGCTTCCAGCTCTACTGAATGCAACGCTGGCCCAGCTCAGTCTTTACTCAAGTGTGGAATGTGCACTGATGTTGACTTGTAGCTGGCAGGTACTGGAGTAAGCAACAGTGAATCAGAGGCAGGAGGTGGTTCCCCCTCTTATTTTCTGTGAATCTTTCTGACTAGAAATTGAGAGGCTCTCCACTTTGGTTTAAAAAAAAGCTCTTCTCCAACACTTCTCATCTCCATTTTTAGAAAAGAGCCATGAAGTGAATCTCAGGTCAGGGCCTTCTTCAGGCAGCACCATCTGGGCACAGCTTCACGACACTTTCCCTTTCACTGCTTTTACTATAATGGTTCTCTTCTCTTTATGGCAAGGGAGGCTTTCCCCATACAGTTGTGCTATAAAGTTGTCTTTTAAGCTTATTTTTAAAAATATGTGCTATAAAGTTGTCTTTTAAGCTTATTTTTAAAAATAGGTTGATTTGAAGACAAATGTGAAGGCAAAGAATGGTCCAAGTAGCATTTAGATAGGATGAGAATTGGGAAAGCGATGCTGGAGTGACCAAGGGTTGGGAAACACTGAACAAGATGACCATGAAGCCTCCCCCTAGGTGTGAGAACCCAAATATGGATTAATCTATAAAGCATTACTGACACCAAACCCAGATTTTTCTCTTGAATTTGTTCTGTGAAACTGCCAATATCCTGGCCACCCATGGTCAACTAGGTTTGCCCGCTGAATCCTTCTCTTGAAGATTCACCGTGTACATTAATATTCAGGGTTAGAAAGTTTAACAATAAAGAAACTTATTTTACTCTCATTCGACTCTGCATTCCCCAAACATACTACATATTAACTGCAAAACTTTGTGTTTTTTGTTCATTTGTTTTTTTAAGGAACAGTTATTAAATATTCCAGGGAATCAGACGCACTGGTCTGTAGTGACCCCTTATGCTCATCTAGCTTTTATTTTTAGACAAAAACCCATTTTATATCCATTAACTCATCTCGTCCTTCTAATGTCCCACTGAGATAGGTAATAACAAGAGGGAGTTGCTCCACTAACTTAATTAATTAAGGTAGATGTGAGAGTCACACCTACCTTGTGCCACGTGCTGTGCCAGGAACTTCACATCTACTACTTCATCCTCACAACAGCACTGCAAGGGAGGCGTCCTCATCTGTTTGACAGCTGAGGGAGTAGGCGCCAAGAGGAGGCAAAGGGCTCGAAGACTTCCCCTAAGTCACAAAGCCCAGCTGGGATTCAAACCCAGGCCGACCTAATTCCAAAGCCTCTGCTCTTAAACCTCAAGGGATTTTAAATCAGGATTTAGGATCCTCATTGAACAAAGGTGATTCATTTCCCAGACATGGGCCAGGCCATACTTGGCTGTCTTGTCATTCTCTTCCCAGAGTTACCCCCCCACTTCCTAGCCTCTCAGCTTTTCCTATGTACCTGATCCTTGGTGCCCCCTTCCTGTGCATGACCCCCCACCGCTCCCCTATCAGGACTTTTGCCACTTAAGATTTCATCATCAGATCAACGCCTGCTGGAATTGGAGCACTCACCCCAGGGGCGTGGCCCTTTTTTTTACTAAGAGCCTCCAAGAGGGGTGGAGAGGCCCAGATGTGGGACAGGGCTCCAGGCCCCCCTCCTGCTGAGTCAGAAATGGAGGAGGGTAGTGAAGAGGAGGGAAGTGAGAGGCAGGGAGCCGCCATTGCCATGGCCAGCCAGTTAGGCTGGGTTTCAGGGAGGCTGAGCACATTCTCCATGTCAGTGTCTCCTTTCCACAAGCGAGGAAAACGGCCTCCCCAACACTGCTCTTCACCCTGACCCCACCAACCCCCTAAACCCCATCCTTAGGACAAGCTTATTCTGTACAGCTGTGGGTGCTGGAGAACTGACTCTCCTGGGTTGTAAAAGGGCCACAACAGGCCCTAGATGCCAGACATGTTCTACCCAAACTTAAGTAATAATAACAGAACTGCCATTTTATGGAACACTTCATAATGCCAGGCACAATGCTAACAGCTTTCTGTGTACCGTCTCCTGGAGTTCCTGCAACAATCCCCAGCATTATCCCCATTGCTCAGATGAGGAAACAGGGTCATCAAGGTTTCACAGCTCACCCAAAGTCAAACAACTGGTAATAACTAGGATCTGAATCAAGCTCCAAAACCCATTTTTCTATCCACTAACCAATGCAACTTGGGTCTCAAATCTGACTTGAATAATATTCTTCCCTGTGTATCTTGCATTTTGCTACAATTTGAAAACACTCAGGGGACAGGGGACACACATATCAGTTCTTAGACTCAAAGTCAGGCTAGGAGGCAGGTCCATAATCCTTCAAAAAAGCTAAGTCATTTGCCTGAGGACTTGCTCAAGATACATCCCCTGTCTGGCCTCAGTTTCCCCATCTAAAATGGGGTAGCCATTTCTCACTACACAGCCAGATCCCCCAAGAAGCTGGAGTTTTCCCTGCTTTCTCTTGGCCAGACTTCTCCACTCAGTCCAGGGGTTCCTGGACCCTCACTCACCACGTACTTGGAGGGCGGGTCCTTGACCACGTTGGCGCTGGTCACCTCGAAGAGCAGCCGCTGGGGTACCAGGGTGTTCCGGGACTTCTTCCAGAAATCTTGCAACTGCCGCGTCAGGGGCTGACTGCCTCGCTGCCCATCAGGTGGGGGACTCCGTTCTGCATGAGCACAGGATGGGCCTGGAGCCAGGTTCGAAATAAATTATGTGCCATGACCTCAGTCATCCTCCCAACAGGTGATAAAGGCTTTATCCCCATTTGATATAAAAGGAAACGGAGAGCCAGAGAGGGGCCGGGTGCCAAGCACCTGCCTGACAGACAGTAGGCGTTAAACAAGTATCTCCACCCCTAAAACATAGCTGCCAATACCATTACTACCGTTTGTTTCCCAGACCCTGTACATTTAATGCCCTAAACAACCCTGATATGGGAGTGATTTTCCCTATTTGACAAAAGCGAACTTGGCTCAGAGAGGTGTTGTGACTCTCTCAAGGTCACACAGCCAAGAAGTAGCTGGGGCACTTAAATAAGTGCGAGTTTCAGCTGGATCAACTCGGGAACGCGGCCGGGGCGGAGGCCTAATCGAGCACCAGGGTTCCCGCCTCCATCCTCCCGCACTCGCCTGCGTCGTCTCCCGCAGCCTGGTCCCGGGGGTGCAACGGGTCAGGGCCAGCATCGTCGTCGTCCTCGTCGTCCTCCTCCTCCTCGTCCTCGGCGCTGGTGAAGCTCAGGGTGCCGCTGAGGCGGGACGACAGGCCCTCGGCGTCGTCATCCTCCAGTTCCGAGCTCTCCGGGAACTGCTCGGCTTCTGGGCCGGTCGGCGCCTCCCCGGGGCCGTCGCCGGCCAGAGC